GGGGGAAAAAATAGAGTTGGAAGCGCGGAGCGTGGGAGGGAGAGGGGTTCAAACCTCCCCCCCACCCCCAGCGTGAGCCCAGCGCAGAGCTGGGGGGGCACCCATGTATCCCCCACCCCCCACCCCCCCCCTGCAGCACCTTTCCCCCTCGTTCCCAGCACACGAGGTCTCTTTAATCCCGGATAATTTTGGCTGTAGGGCGCTGTGGGAGTTTCACAGGGGACGCCCGTCACCCCCTGCCCTCAGCCCAGCCATCGCCTCCTGCTGCTGTTCTTTAGGACGCTGATGGAGGTGGTTTCTCCCCAAAGAAGCCCACGCAGGTGGCGGGAGGGAGAGGATGCAGAGCGGGGTGGAAATGGAGCTCTATGGGGGAAGGAGGGGGGGGGGAAACTCTGGTGTTCCCAAACCTGAGGGCAACGCTGGCCCTTTTGGGGGAATTTGTGGAGTTCTGGAGGGCAGAGCTTCCTGGAAGTGCTGCATCCATCCGGGGAAGTGATTTGGATGGGAGAGGGGAGGGACAGAGACGTGGCAAGAACCCAAGTGAGCTACAAAGGGAAGAGCAGCTCTTCCCCAGCGGTCATCTGGATTCACTTTCGGGACAAGGACAGGGCGTAAATCCCATCTCCCTGTGATCTTTGGAGGGCCTTTTTAACCAACCCTAATTCATGAGTGGGGGCTGGAGGGGTCATAACCAGCAGCACCCAAAGCAACCACATCCAGCTGTCCATCCATCCATCCATCCATCCATCCATCCATCCATCCATCCATCCATCCATCCATCCATCCATCTCTCCATCTCTCCATCCATCTGTCCATCCTTCCATCTGTCCATCCCTCCATCCATCCACCCATCCATTCCTCCCTCCCTCCCTCCCTCCACCCATCCATCCCCCCCTCCATCCCCCTATCCCTCCACCCATCCATCCCTCCATCCATCCGTTGAGTTTTGGGGATGCTTTGAGCAAATCTCAGCTCTCACCCCGGACTGCTGCAACCAGAAGAAGGTCGGAGGAGAAATGCAGATGGATGCTAAAGGGGAAAAAAGGATTTTTACTTCTTAACCTCCGTAATCTCCGACGCTCCTTGTCCCGAGGGCTGGACCCAACCCGGTGCCACACCGGTGAGGTTTGGTAACCGCGCTCCTCCCTGGGGCGCTGGGCTCCAAATGCCCCAATTCCTGAGTGTTCCCACTGGGGCTGGGCTCCCCAGCACCCCAAAATGAGCAGCGAGTCCCCCAGCCCCATCACTGGGAGCACTAATTGTGCTGGGATTACCCCCAGCCCCCCACCTCCACCCCCCTGTGTTGCAGCATTCCCTCCCATAGCCAGCCAGAGCCCGGCCCCCCCCGTTTCCCCAGCCTCCCCCATAGTGAGCTGTGGTGCTGCAGGAGGGGAGGGGGGCTGCTCATGGAGGCCATGGGGGTTTCCCAGGTTGGGGGTTGGCCTCCCCTAAGACATTGGGATCCCATGCAGCACCTATGTGCCTTCCCACTGAGCAGCCCCAAATCCCAGATTGAACCTTTCTGACCTCACCTGGGAGAGGCTCAGCCCTGAGCTCGGCAGTGTGAACACACAGGGGTCAAATCCACCTCTTCCAGCACCAGAACCCTCTGATGAAGCGTGATTTGCTCCTCCTCTCTGTGCTGTGCCTCAGTTTTCTCTCTCTGTTATTCCTATGCTGGAACACCCCACTATTTTGAAGGGGTGGAAGCTTCCCAGCAGCACAAACAGGAGGGATCCACTCCATCTCTCCCCAGCTCAAGGGAAACTGAGGCACGAGCCGAGGGGCTGCCAGGAGGGCAAACCACAGGGATGGGGTCTGGGGATCTCCTCCACCCCCACCAGGACAACGGTGCCTCACACTGGGGGCTCTCCTCCCCAAGGAAAGTCCAAAGGGGAGCACACAGCGCTGAGCCATCATTAGGGTTCAGAATGAACACAGAGATGCATCACCTTTACGGGCAGGGAGAGGAGAGCAGGCTCTCCCAGGGGAGGGGGGAAAAGGGGGGGGGGGGGGGCTGCATGAGGCAGCCTTGTCCATCCAACCCCCCCGGCATCGCACCAGGCTTTGGGGGTGGTTCTCTGGGGGGTTCTCACAGCCCTGCAGGGCCTCAGCGGCCGTTCCCAGCACCGGGATTCCCCACAGCTGCTTCCTGCCTCCCTATCTCACGGGCACATCTGGGGGAGCAGCCCCCCCCCTCCCCCCCCACAGCCGCTTCCTGCACTGTCCGCCTCCCCCCCCCCCCCCCCCCCCCCCAACTCTGGCCACTGTTCTCACGGCAGCCCCCAAGGCCAAGCGGAGCCCCCCGGGGTCCTGCTTCCCCTCCAAGATGCCCACCCTGAGCCTGACCCTGCTGCAGCCTTCCCACCTCCCAGCTGCATCCCCTGGGCTGTTTTACTGCTCTCCCCCCTCCCCCCTTCCCCATCCTTCACCCTTTTCGGGCTCCCCAGTGCCGCAGGGGGGCTGGAGCTGGACCCAAAGGAGCCCAGTACGCCCCCCAACCCACCCTGATGCAGCCCCACACGGGGGTCCCACAGCACTGTGGCACACAGGGAGAAGCAGAACCCCCCCCCCTCGCCCCTCCTGGGCACCAATATCCCCATCTCGGTGCATCCTCAAACCACATCCACCACCCTTTGGGCTGCACCCAAAACTCAGCATTCCTTCACCCCCCCCCACCTGCATCCCATGGTTCTCCCTTCCTTTTTCTCTTGCCCATCGTTCCCCATTGCAAAAGTGGGGGGATTTGGGGGGGGGGGGGGGGGGGGTTGGTGCAGGTGCACTCAGCAGGGTCTGCAGGTGTGGGGGGAGGACATGGGTGACTCACAGGCCTCGCTGCCACCCTCCTCCCACGATATCCTCCCAGGGAGGCGGTGAGGGTGGCTGGGGGGGGGGGGGGGGGCAAGGCCTGCCCCATAACCTCCCCCATAACCTCCCCCCATCCCCACACATGTGGGGCACTGCGGCTCCAAGTGGGGAAACTGAGGCTGAGGGGGATGGGAGCGACAAGGGGGTGGGCAGCTCTGGGGGGGGGGGGCTCTGCTTGTACCCCCCCCCCATCCCCACCATGCTCAGCTCCCACCTTCCTCCCCCCGCATCCCACACAGCCGCAGGATGTGGCTTTGCCTCTTTCCACCCACAGACACCCTTAAAACACCCCCCCCCCATCCAGCACCCCTTTGGCCCACGCTGCCCACCCAAAATCACCCCAACCCCAGCATGGGTGATGGAGGGGAGCACCCACACAAACCCCACCTCCAAACTCACCCCTCCATCGGCCTCAAATCACCAGAATTCACCCCAAAAAGGGCCAAATCCCTCCCCCCCCCCCCCGGAAAGCTGCGTCCCATGGAAAAAGATGGGGCGAAGGCACGGCGTTATCGCGGCCCCATCGACCCTAATGAGGCAGCTTTATTTTTAGCAGAGGTGAAAGGCAGCTCGCCCGGCGCGGAGCATTTTCCACTCGCATCTGCATTTGTACAATTTGGGTTTCCTGTCGTGTGGTTTTCGGCTCTTTTCGAACCTGAATTGTTATTTCTTTCGCTCGGCACAGAGAACCCTTCGCATCTGGGTATAAATAACGCTGCAGCCCCTCCCAGAGCTGCATTCGTCCCCAACCCCCCCCCACAAACCCCAAACCTCCTTAAGGCAGAGATGGGGGACGCGGCAAGGGTACGACAGGCAGCAAAGGGGTGGGGGGGTGATGGGGGTGCAGGGATGGGGGGCAGTGGGTTTGTCCCCCCTCCCAGCTTCCTGTGACGCAGAATTTCCATCCGGCCCAGCAGGTGCCAGGTGAGGGGCAGCGGGGTGGGGGCTGAGACCCTTTGGCCCCCGTCCCTCTGAGCACCGCAGCTGGGGATGAAGATGCTCGCATTTGAGTGCTCAGCCCCATCCGTCACCCCGTGTGCCAAACCCCACCACGAGCCGGGGGCTCACGCAGGCTGGAGGTCTCCTGTCCACGTCCTCATCTCCGTCCTTATCTCTGTCCCCATCCCTGTCCCCATTCCCATCCCTACCCCTGTCCCCATCCCCACCCCTGTCCCCATCCCCATCCCTATCCACGTTCTGTCCCCATCTCTGTCTGCATCCCTGTTCCCATCCCCATCCCTGTCCTCATTTGGTCCCCATCTCTGTCCCCATCCCCATCCCCATCCCTATCCATGTTCTGTCCTCATCTCTGTCTCCAACCCTGTCCCCATTCCCATCCCTTTCCCTGTCCCACATCCCTACCCCTTTTCTCATCCCCACCCCTGTCCCCTTTCTGTCCCCATCCCCATCCCTGTCCCCCCCCCGCTCCCCAGCTCAGCTCTCAGCACACACGCGGTGCCACAGCTGCAGGCCAGGTGCCGGGGCCGGATGCCGACCTGCCCTCGCTTTCTCTCCTCTTCTATTTTGTTGTTTTGTTCATTCTCCACTGACCCGGGAACTTCACTTTCTAAACAAGAGGTGCCATCGCACCCCCCGCTCCCTTCCCCCTCCTCCAGCCCCCTTTTTTGGGGACATACTGCTCAGCCACCCCATGCTGGGCTCAATTCCAGCCCTGCGACGTGGGACAGCGTGGGGACAGCAGCCCGGCCGTGTGTCCGTGTGTCCGAACGTCCCGTGTCACGTCGTTGCCCCCTCCCCCCCCCCCACCAGCACAGGACATTACCACCGTCCTTTCTCATCCCCTCACCGTCCCGACGGTTCCGTGTGTTGTGTCCGTGTCCCCCCGCACGCAGCCCCGCGTCCCCCTGCGCGTGACAACCGCGGCGACAACGGAGCCGGGACCCCCGCATCTCCCACCCGCTCCGAACCCGCGCTGGTGCTGCCCTCTGGTGGCGAGCATCGGAACTGCACCCCCCCACGGAACCCAACCGCACAGACGGTGACCCACCGCCCCCCAGCATCAGCCCCACGGCCATGGACCCCCCCCCTCCATCACCCCCCAGCCATACAGACACGGACCCCCAGCACTGTCCCCTCGCCCCCAGGCACACGTGGGACAGCACAGGACCGGGTGATGGAGGGGATGCAGCTTTAATCTCCCAGCAAGGAGCTTGGGTGGCACTGCGGGGACACGGGGACATCGTGCTGGGGATGCACGGTGAATTCAGGGCACAACGGGGCAGGGGACCCCGGTGCCCTTCAGGCCGCAGTACCCCCCGGGCACTTTGTGCAGGTACTGCTGGTGGTGGTCCTCGGCGTAGTAGAAGTCACCTGCTGGCTCGATGGTGGTGGTGATGTCCCCTCGGTGCTGCTGGCTCAGCTCCTGGCACAGCCCCACGGTGGGGACAAGTTGGGAACACCGGGACAGACCTCTCCATCCCACTGCCCCATAGCGTGGCATTGCCATAGTGGGGCTTTGCCCCACACCTGAGACAGGGGATAGCAGCCTGTGTTCCCGGAGAGGTGTCCCAATGTCCCCAAGAGAGGCCCTGCTGTCCCCAAGGGGGGTTCTGGTGCCCCCAAGAGGGGTCCCCACGTCCCACCTACCTGCTGGTAAGCATCCCTGCTGCGGAGCGCGGCCGCCTGCTGCTGGGGGTTCAGCGTGAGGATGATGGAGCGGTACTGGGTGCCCACGTCCTCCTGCTGCTGCATCCCTGGGGGACAGCACTGGGGGGTTATGGGGCACCAATGACCCTGACAGGCACTGTGGGGCCTCAGCTTATGCTGATGGAGATGGGGAAACCGAGGCACGGGGAAGGCAGTGGCTGCTAAATGGGTTTACGTGAGCACTGAGGGATGGGGGTGCAAAGGAGCTCAGATGGGGCTGGTGTGGTGTTTGGTGTTGAACTGCCTGGCCAGGGCTCCAGAAATGGCACCAGGGCTGAAGTCCCATCCTCATCCCCATCCCATCCCATGCCATCCCATCCCATCCCCATTCTCATCCCCATCCCAACACATCCCATTTACATTTCCATCCGATGCCAATCCCCATCCCATTCCCATTTTATCCCATCCCATTTTATCCCATCCCATTTTATCCCATCCCATTTTATCCCATCCCATTTTATCCCATCCCATCCCATCCCATCCCATCCCATCCCATCCCATCCCATCCCATCCCATCCCATCCCATCCCATCCCATCCCATCCCATCCCATCCCATCCCATCCCACCCCATCCCATCCCATCCCATCCCTCTCCCATACCCTGTGTGGGGTCGTGGTTCTCCCAGAAAGCCTTCAGCAGTTCCTCATAGCTGATCTTGTTGGGGTTGAACACCACCTGCACCACCTCAGCGTGCCCCGTCTGCCCTGTGGGGACACCCCAGTCCCTTCCACCCCAAAGTCCTTCCCTTCTGGGGACCGAGGGCACAGAGGGACAAACCTCCCCACCTCACGGAATGCCCCTGCCCAGCCAAACCCCACACCCAAATCACAGGGGCACACCCAAGGTAAATGACAGCCACAACGGGGACATTTTGGGGACAGAACCCCCCGGTACCTGAGCGCACTTCCTCATAGGTGGGATTGGGGGTGAAGCCCCCCGCGTATCCCACCTGGGTAGAGAAGACCCCCGGCATCTCCCAGAAGAGCCGCTCCACTCCCCAGAAGCAACCCATGCCTGTGGGGAGGGGAGGGGGGAGGAAGGCAGTGGGGTGACCCCACAGAGGTCATGGGGTTCCCAATTTGGGGCTGGGGGCAGCGCTCACCAAAAATCGCCGTCTGCATCTCAGGGGGGAAAGGAGGCAGCGTGGGATTCCCAGTGACGGCGTGAGTGGCTGCGTAGGGATGGGGGTCAGGGCTCCCCGGAGGGGTCGCATCCCCCCTCCCTGGGATTTGGGATCTGGGACCCCCCAACCCAACCCCAAGGAGCCCTGTGGGTACCCTCCACGTGCAGCCGCTCTGCTCTGCCTGCCAGAGCCGCGCTGGGGCTGGGGAGTGCCTGGGGATCCAGCATGGCCACCTCAGAGCTGTGCCACCGCTGTGACTTTGGACTGGGCTGAGCCCTGGCACTGGGAGCACTGGGAGCACTGGGAGCACTGGGAGGGACGGGGCACCGCAGGCAGAGCCAGGAGCTGTGTGAGCACACGGGGCTACAAACAGGGCTGATGTGTGACATGGGGACGGAGCTGGGGACAGTGCGTGTCGTGAGCGCATGGGGCTGCCGTGCCCTCCTTCCCTTTGGGGACAGCGGGGTTTTCGTGCCCTGTTCAGGGGAATGGATGCAGCACGGTGGCTGTTGCACAACTCCTACAGACAGCAGAGAATCCATCGCATGGGGCAGTGGACCCAAACCGGGTCCTCTGTCAACCATTAATGTGCCCCAGGGTCACCGTGGGACAACCCAGCGCCCTGTACCCCATGCAGGATTGGGGGCTGGAGCCCAACCCCAGCCCCCAGCATAGAAGGACAAAGGAAGGAAGTGCTGCTGAGACCCCCACCCACATCGCCCCTGTCCCCCATGGGTCCCCACGTGTCCTGCATTCCCCATGTTGCTGTAGGTCTGTCCCCACAGACCCCTCATCCCCATGGGTCTCCTAACACCCCCCAATCTCATCCCCGCAGGTTCCCATCCCTGTCTATCCCTATCCCTACGGGTCACATCCCCATCATCCCCCATTCCCACGTTTCCCTACCTCTGGGGGTCTCCTATTCCCCACGGATCCCCACAGACCCTCACCATTGTGGTCTGTCCCCCTCCCCCAAATCCCCACCCCACCTCGCACGGCGTCCTCATGGACAGGAGGTTCACAGCAAATCACCCCCCCATGGGAGAGCACAAAGGAAGCAGCATCCCCAAATCTCCCCCTCTTCCAGACACCCCAGGACCCCCCCCAGCAGCACTGTGCTCCCCCAGCCATCAGCCTCAGCGTTTCGTGTTCGCTGCAGACCTTGATTTCATGTCACACCATTAAGGCACAGCGAATGCCAAAGTGGGGAGGCAGCCCAGGCTGAGAGATGCTAAAACCAGAGCCAGAAGGAGCAGCCCTACGACACCCCAGGTAAGGGGATGCAGCCAGGGCCCATTGAGACCCCTGGTTCCCAAGGTGGGGGCAGCACACACTGAAAGGGGGGATGACAGAAGGCAGAGGGGACCCCAGAAATCAGCACAAAGCTCTGCAGCCCCAAAGCAGGTGGGGGGAAGCTCATAGAGCATCGCACAGCTACAAACCAGTGTGCAACCCCACACAGCACAGCAGAGCACGTGTCTACAGCAATGCACAACGACACACAGCAGTGGGCAGCAATGCACAACCTCACAGAGCAGAGCGCTGCGCGGCCCTGCGTCGCGATGCACAGCCCTGGTTGTGATGCACAGCCCTGGTTTGCAATGCACAGCCCTGTGTCATGATGCACAGCCCTGGTTGTGATGCACAGCCCTGGTTGCAATGCACAGCCCTGGTTTGCAATGCACAGCCCTGTGTCGTGATGCACAGCCCTGGTTTGCAATGCACAGCCCTGGTTTGCAATGCACAGCCCTGGTTGCAATGCACAGCCCTGGTTGTGATGCACAGCCCTGGTTGTGATGCACAGCCCTGGTTGTGATGCACAGCCCTGGTTGTGATGCACAGCCCTGGTTGTGATGCACAGCTCTGCACTGTGATGCACAGCCCTGTGTTGCAATGCACAGCTCTGCATTGCAATGCACAGCCCTGTGTTGCAATGCACAGCTCTGCATTGCGATGCACAGCTCTGCATTGCGATGCACAGCCTTGGTTGTGATGCACGGCCCAGCAGCACACAGCAGCCCTCACACAACAACCCCGGCCCCAGAACAGCCCCTACCCTGGTGTCTGGAAGCAGGGCAGCAATGCTGTGCGTTCCTCTGTGCTTCTCTCCAAATCCAAACCACGCACAGATGCTGCGATCGCAGTGGAATCCAGCGCAGTTTTCTTGCACCCAGCCCCCAAAACAGGGCTGGATGGCACCCATGGGTGCTGCACCTCAGCCCATCTCACCCCACGGGGGGCTCCGAACGCTGCTGCATTCCTGCACTCAGGGCACAGGGAGGCAAAAAGGGAGCAGCAAACACCAGTGATGCTCAACAGGATCTCACGTTTATTACTGAGAAGTGATTAATGGTGAAAAGAAAGGCGACGCCCAATTCCTCATTGGCTTAACAAGAACTGAAGGAACAAGTTCATCACTACACATTTTACAATATTTTTTTTTTTTTTCTTTCTTTTTCCTGTAAACAAAAAAACGGGAGGTTTTTGGTTTCTTTCTTTTCTTTTTTATTCCAACACCATCCCCACCTTTCCAATGCCATCAACACAAACCTCATCCGCGAGCCACGCAGCGCCGCAGAGCAGAGCATCGCTTTGGGCTCCCAGTGCTTCTGAGCAGCCTTTGGGCAGAGGAAAAGGAACCACTGGGACAGAACCTCGTGGGCAACATCTGCTGGATCCCAGGCCCCAAAGCCCCCCTGTGCTCGGGCTGCTCCTCCTCTTCCAGGCCAGATGGGAGGGGGGGGGGATAACAAAGTTCCTCCGCTTTGCACAGCGGCTCGGTGCTCCAAGTGCAAATGTCAAACCCAGGGGAGGAGGCGTGGGGTTAAAAATTAAAGGGGGGGAAGGGGAGGGAAAAGGCAAAAATGCCCCTTATGGGCCTTAAAATAAAAAAAAAAACGTAGTAGAAAGACAAAAACCAAAGCGTTTGCTCCGAAATCACAACCAAAGCCAAAAGGAAAGGGAACGGTTTCAGCTATGCTCTATAACCTAGAAGGGACTTTTTTTTTTTTCTGTATTTTTTTCCTTTTTTTTCCTTTTTTTCAGTCCTATGTCTTGTGAAATTCCAATGCTTTCCTCTTGTTTTTCCTCGAGTTTGTCACAGTCCTTTTTCTTTTCTTTTTTTTTTTTTCCTCCTCCATTTGAAGTCACTGAAATGAAGAAAAATAAACCAAAAATAAACCAAAAATAAACCCAAACCCAACCAAGTCCTAATTTCTCTCTGGGATTTTTTTTTGCTCTTTCTTTCCTTTCTCCGACAGACGGCGCGATGCAATCTCTGCTGCAGTCTCTGGGGGAGGAGAGGCCCTTCTATTTGACACGGCCCTGGCGTTCCTGCAGGGGGAAAAGAGAGAAGGCATCAGTGGTGCCCCATGTAAGGAAGGCAGGAGCTGCCTGCCTTCACCCATGGGTGCCACCTCACTCCTTCCAGGGATGTGGGATCACAGAATCACCCGGGTTGGAAGGGACCTCAAGGATCACGCAGTTCCAACCCCCTGCCCAGCAGGGCCACCAAACATCCACATTCAGATCAGGTTGCCCAGGACCCCGTCCAACCTGGCCTTGAACACGGCCAAGGACGGGGCATCCACAACCTCCCTGGGCAGCCCGTTCCAGGGCCCAACCGCTCTCCTTGTGAAGAACTTCCCCCTAACATCCAACTTCAATCTTCCCTCCTTCAACTTGGATCCATCCATTGGGATGCAGACACCTGCTTGCGTCCCCCTCCTCTCTGTGCCTCCAGCTAAGTGCCAGCAGGGCATCGCCACACCAAAGGGAGCAATGGGAGAGAAGAACCGAGCAGCACAGGGAGGAAGAACAAGGAAAAAACCAACTATGACAAAGGGAATCGCAGAACAGCCAGGCTTGGAAGGGACCTCAAGGATCACAAAGCTCCAACCCCCTGCCACACGCAGGGCCACCAACCTCCACATTCAACACCAGCCCAGGCTGCCCAGGGCCCCATCCAACCTGGCCTTGAACACCTCCAGGGATGGATGGGGCATCACAGCCTTTCTGGGCAGCCCTAAAGGTCTGGGTGAGGACAGGGACACGGTGTGCTGCTCTGGGTGGGCAGCACAGGAACCCAGAAGGTGGCTGAGGGTGGGCAGAGGGGCAGCTGCACATCACACCTCCCCAGCTGCCATGGACCCACGTGAGTCGCTGAAGCCAAACCCCAGATAGAAAGACAACAAGGGCACAGGGCTGCGGCCCCACAGTGCAGGGGAACGGCTCAGAAGGCACCCAGAGAGGCAGCAGCAACAGCACTTGGAGGCACTGAGCTCTGCAGGGAAGCAGCAGCAGCCAGGAGCACTCAGTGGTGGCCCTGCTCTGCACACACCGTGACCCTGGGGCTGTGGTGGCAGCACAGCCCTGTCCTGCTAACAGTGAGGAAGGCTGATGGCAGATCTCGTTATCCAGCCCCAACCACAGGCTCTGCAGCTCAGGATGGCAACGTCTGTGTGCTCTCACCTTCAACAAACACCTGACTGCAGTGCTCCTGTGGGGCAGCAGAAGGCCATCAGAGGGCAGAAGGAGGCAGCACGTGGCTCCCAGCTTCACTGGGATCAGCCTGCTTCCCAGCACCAGGGCTGCATGCTGCCAGCAGCGCTCCTGCAGGGCTGAGCTCAGCCATCCAACCCCTCACCCAGCAGCACACCCAGCCCCCAGCTCTGCTTCCCCAGTCCTGCTGCACAACGGATGCCCCCCCAGCCCAGCACAGCACAGCATTGCTACGTGCCCACTCCCAAGATGGGCTTCAGACCTGCCCTGGTCCTGCATCACAGCCATCACTGCCTCAGAGTTGCCCTGCAGAGCTTTCCCTTCTCAACACACCCAGCTCGAGGCACAGCCACAGCCAACAGACTGGGCATCACTTCTATAGTGCTCCACAAACAGCCCCCAGTCCTGATTTACAAACCAAACACCAGGTTTTTCTCCTGCCAGCATGAAAAAAGCCATCAGAGCTACAGAGGAAAGTTCCACCCCAGTCTGCCTCACCTATGAAAGAGGACAAAATCAAACATGTTGCTCTGGCTGCAGCCAGAAAGCTTCATCCTCCCTCTCACCCGCAATACCGATTGCAAAGGATGAGCCTCTTCTTGCTCAACCATCACCTCGGATTGCACAAACGAAGCACCCAATTCCCAGGAAGCTGATCATCCTCCTGCTTTTCCCCTTGGCTCTTTGGAAAAGGCAGAAGCCCACCTGGCTGTTTCAAGGCAGAATCAAGGCATGAACACCTCTGTGCTCTGCACATGAGTGCAGTGCTAAGGACTGCATAACCTTGGG